GTTCTTTAAATTGATATCTTTATCTTGTACCATATGCACTCAAAGCTTCAGACAGTCTTCTCATCTCCTTTTATTTTTTTTTAATAGAAATCATACAAAAAAAGATATCTATGCATCAGTTTCTAATACCTAACAGGAAAGTATTTTTAGAGTATTAAAATATTTATAAGCAAATATGTATTATAGGATTAAGCACTAGCATTGAAAACAAACAAACCAATAACAAAGAACCAACAAAATGTTTCTTCTTGTTTTTGCCTCCTCAATTTCTGGACTTTCTGATGATTGTGGGAGAGGGGCATAAAGAATCACAATTTTTCTATTTAAAATTTTAAAATAAATGATGCACAATGATGTGTAAGTCAGATTTATCTTTTGAAAACATTGCTGGGAAAACCCAGGTGATTTGAGTGGGAATGCTCTTTCCAATGAAGAGAGCTAACAGAATGTGTCTCAAATATTAGCACAATCTTTTAAGGTTAAAAATAGCAAAAGACATTTTAGATAGTCTGATTAGAGTTTTGACAAGTCAAATGTACATTTCCAGCCTATAACTTTAAAGTCTATGTGGGTTTAACTCATCACCCCTTATTCAATATAAAAGAAGAAGAAAGAACCAAGTAATTTTGAACATTAAGATATTCATAAAGCCTATATAAAGTTTTTAAAAAAAGTCTTCACAGATTGTTAGCCATCTCTTTCAATGATTTCTCCTAATTTCTCCTCTATCGTTATCAATAGATAACCCCAGCTCATAAAGAAATACTTTCCAACACTTCCCAATGAGATTAGTGATTGCTTCTCAAGGGAGCTATTGCTCTCTGAGATGTTTAGATGAAGGGAGAATGTTTTCTATAAACCAGCCAATGCTAAAAATTTACTCAAGGGAAATGGGGCAGATGTTATTTTTAGAAGGTGAATGTATGCATTTTTTTCCTCTTTGTATTTTTCTCTACTTGTTGAATATCTGTTTTAAGAACAGAGAGCACTCCTTCCTCCCTCCCCCCCAAAAAAAATCAATAAGTAACTTAACCATCTTTTTAGTTCTGCCATTTCCCTGTGTGTGTGTGTGTGTGTGTGTGTGTGTGTGTGTTTTGCCCCATTTATATTTCATGCTCTTGATCCAGGTGTTCAGATTGGGTAACATAGTGCTAGTTTTGCTGAGATCCAACAAAATAATGGAACCTTGGGAATCTAAACATTTTCCAACCTCTGCCCCACACCACCACACTCACAATTTGGTGAACAGTCTGCTACTTGTGAGTGATAAGAAGTTGAAAGGTGGTGGTGACTAGACCTAGTGCTGCCTTATGAAGCCACCTAGCTATAGAATTGTTGTTTTTACACTTTAAAAAATATGTCCATGCTTTTTTCTTTTTTTCCCTTTTTTCTTTTTTTCTTTTTTTTTTTTTTTTTTTTTTTTAGTCAAGTACTTTCTTAAAGAAACAATAGCACCATGTTGGCATAGCTGGCCAAACAATAAATGGGAAAGCAAAATTGTGTTACATCCTCTAATTGAATCCCACTAGTGCATGAGCTAGTAATGGAAATCCTGGAGCCACAGTGTACAAGATGTTTCCATCTACACAAACATTGACATTCCCAGGAGGGGAAGGATTCTCAAGGTGGCCAGGCTTTTTTATTTTTTATTTTTCTAGGAAGTTATTATTAGAGGTGTTGGGAGAGGTGGTTTTTTTTTTTGTTTGTTTGTTTTGTTTTTTAGGTCTAGGAGAGTGGATTCTGATGGAAAGATTCATCAGCTTTTTCAGAGGAGCCTCCTCATCTTAAAATGTTCAAATAGTGCTGTTCTCCTATGTGAGGGAGCTGGCGTAGAAATTTGACTTAGGTATTCTGTATTGTCATTTAAATTGGAAATAAGAATATACATTGAACGGTAATTCCTACCAGTAGGCATGGCTCTTTCATAAACATCCTGAAATTTCTCATTTTAAAATTTAAAGCAAAGCTTATGAAGTTTTGAGTTGTGAAATGTTAGGTGCTCCCTCTATGTCAACCTTGGGACATTCTGCTGTAGTGTATGTGGGTCAACTAACTTTTTGAAGTTTACATCAAGTTGTCTTCTAGTTTAATTCATTTGCAAATAAGATACTGGGTTAGTATAACAACTAGTTACTTTTTAATTTGTTGATTTATGATGTAGTTGGAGAGGACCATGTGTTGGAAAAAGTTAAGAAAGATGGTGTCTTTTTGTCTATTTAAGCTTTCCTTACTGGGGTATCTGGGCTGTGAATAGACTTGCTAAGTGAATCAAGTTAAGTCATAGATACTCATAGAATTACCCTATCTTGCTAGGTCTGCAGGAGCATACATGTAAAATGTTTCAGTGATTTTAAAAGGTGCATTCTAGGAACAAGAAATAAAATTAGAAGTGCCATTTTGGGAAGAGGACTCCAGCACGTCACTCCACAAAATCCATATGTGTGGAAACAGATGAAGGACAAAAATGACTTGTAGTTCCTTTGACATCGGTCCACAGTGATTAGAATACCACTCAGTACACCAGAGATGCTCAGTTCAAATAGCACTGGGCACTGAGGGTTAAAATGCTTGTTGGCTGAGCAGGGGCACCCACTAAATAGGCCTTTTTTTTGCATATGTTCTGAGATCCAGGAAGTCTTCTTTAATTAATTATTATTATTATTTTTTATTTCTGGCCACTGGATCTTGAGGTGAACCAGTGGGATGAAAACTACACGTCATTTTTGTCTTCCATATATATATTTTCCAAAACTAAAAAGGATACAATGTGCATGAAATAATAAACCTGGTTGCTTCTCACCAAAAAGGTTTAAGGCTGATAAAAGATCATGGTGGATGATTTATTGTTGATATGTAGGCTGGAAACATTTTTTAGGTCACCATGGGCCTGTCCTCAACATTGGATTTTCTTGATACCAATTATTTAGTTGAATGGATAACACACATTCATAGGGGCCATTCTTCTAAACAGACATGAGGGAAAGTTCCTAGTTCTGAAGAAAACCTTTGCCTATAAATGAGCAACTCTAGTCAAAGGCATTTTAACAACAGCAACAACAATAAAAGCAAAATTGATTAAAGAAAGTAACTGTGACTTTTTATAAGATATTATTTCAATAGTTGAAATCTTGGGCCATTTTTTTTTAGATTGCCTAAAAACGAAATAACTTTTCAAAATGAGTAGAGTATCATAATATTAAAAGAAATATTACTAGATTTCTAGAAACTGCCTGGAACAGTCAGTGAGTGCTAACAAATCGAGTAATCACCCTTTTGCTGGTAGAAATCTTTTTGTTTTTCTCTTTATTTTCTTTTTATTTCCCTTTTTTCATTTTGTATTTATGGACCCAAGTGCAGAATTTAAAATCAAGTTGTTAATCAAATGTTTCTAACTTTGAAAAATGTTTTAAAAGAGATCAAGCTGCTTGCTAGCTTTTAACAACTAGCTAGTTGTATACTTAATTAGATAGCTTCATTGACAAAAATTGGCATGTCAGGAGCATTTGACTAATCAGTTTTCTAGCTATGCTCTGAATGAGCTGTTTATAGAATTCCTTGCATCCCAGTAACTCAAGGGTTCTGATCTTGCACTCTCGTAGCAATTTAGGATAAAAATCTGGAGCTTTATCTTTTTAATCCTCATACCACCCCTGTGAGGTAGGTAGATGACATATTGCCCCATTTTGCAGATGAGGAAACTGAGGCACAGAGAGGTGAATTGACTTGCCCAAGGTCACAAAGTGGTGAATCCATGGCCGAGTTGGCAGATGTTTGTTTAATCAGTGAGAAGAAACCAGGATTATTACATTTCTAGCCTTCTGCTTTTTCCACTCCTCTCTGGACTTGCCGAACAAATTTGCATTAGTGGCCTTTGTGTCTTCAATTTCTCTTGGAAGGCATAATCGGAGGTACTGGATTTCTAGGACCCTTCCCCTCTGTGTCTTCTTTGGCTCCAGGCATCCTTTTTTATTTGTTTGTTTTGCTTTCACCTTTTACCATTTTGGCCAGACTCTTTCATATCACAAACTACAAAATAGCACCATTGTACTAAAAAAAGAGAGAGAGAGTTTTACATACTGTTTGATATATCCTGTAATGTTGATATGTAAATTTACATAGTGCTCTATATGGAGAAAATCAAAGAGAAGTTACTAATTAGGTCGCACACTAACTCATCATTTGAAGGAACTGTTGAGAGCTTGAGACTTTCTGGACTTAACACGTACATCTAAGAACATTTGGCCTCAAAATTGCAACTGTTTGCATTTTCTTTTTAGCAAGATATGGAAAAATAAAGCCTTGTGTCTACAGCAAATGCATCCAACTTATATTTGGTACCAATGCTGCAGATAGAATCTTGTGGGTTAAATATTGGTGTGCTACTTGACTGCTTGCTGCTGTTAGGGAGGAGGCCAAATTTGGAAAATATAACGTTGATGGAGGAGGGTGGGCAGAGATAGACAAGCAAGGTAATTAGACACTGTAAAATAAAATAAAAAAACAGCCTGTGTTGCATACAAAGAAATGCAAATAAAAAAAATAAATCACTTAGACAAGACTACTGAATGAATGGCTCCAGCAGCCAAGATTCAGAGACAAATTTAGTGCAACTGGATCTAGACAACACCCATGCATTTGTGGCTCTTGAGAGGCAGGGACTAAGATATATGTAGATAGATAGATAGATAGATAGATAGATAGATAGATAGATAGATAGATAGATAGATAGATTTTTTTCTCTGTAGAACATCAGTAATAAAGGATCAACAGCAATCCACCAACGCCAGGACCTTATTCTGCAAGGTGCAAAGCTTTTAACAATCACTCCTAAAGACAATGTTTGAAATGTTTACTTGTGTATTTCATTGGGGGAATGCCCATCTTTTGAAATGTTATCAAACTTATATTTTGGTGGGTCTTCTGGTGTTGAACTGGTAATTCATGCAAAGCAAAGGATCCTGCTGATGGCATCTCATTCTTCATTCCTCAGGAAGTTCTTCCTACATTCTGTAGTTCCTATTGCCCGCATTCCCTCTACTTGCGTTCTTCAAATGTACTTCCTGAAAGCAAAGGAGGAAAAAGCGACATAAACTTGGTGAAGTTTTATATATCCTACCCATCTACTTCTAAGGCTGGGTCTCAATCTTTTCTAGCTTAAGACTCACCAGTCAGTTTAAGAGAGAGCTGGGACTAGATTTTTCTGAGAAAGATGTATTTGAGTAAGTAGTGCTCTATATGGAGAAAAATCAAAGAGAAGTTACTAATTAGGTCGCACACTAACTCATCATTTGAAGGAACTGTTGAGAGCTTGAGACTTTCTGGACTTAACACGTACATCTAAGAACATTTGGCCTCAAAGTTGCAACTGTTTGCATTTAGTTTTTAGTGTAGCTAAACCTCATTCGAGCTACTTCTCTGTGCCCCTTATAACCACACAAAATTGTGTTTCTATTCATCTGCTGCTATCACATATTCATTGATTGAAGGGAGGTTCTGAAAGTTTCATCTTCTGGCCTGTAGCATCTTTTTTTCAGTGAGAAAAAAAATCATACTTGGGGGTTATTTTGTATTGTTTTATTGCATTTTTGTTCTGTTTTAATTTCTGTGAAAAGATATTTCTTTTTCATTTTTTTCTCTTTGAAGAAAGAGATTTAGAATGAGAAGGGTGGGGAAATTTGTAATTGTTTTAGACTCTGTAAAATCACAGACATACTGAACTTGGCTCAAATTCTAGCTCTTCCATTTTCTAGCCCCGTGAGCTTCTTGGAGTGAAAATTTCTTGTGTCTCAATTGTATTCGTAAACTGGGATAATAGTTTTTATCTTGTAGGATTAAGGATTAAAGAATTAGTACACAAAAGCACTTATAATATGTCTGTCACATGGCAAGCGCTATATAAGTATTATTATTTTTATTATTATTATTATTTTATCTTGCTCTTATTATCATGTTTTCATCTTTACCAGGATGTAGCCATTCCTAGACTAAAATTCTAGGGTTCCTGGCTTTGGTCCTACCATTCACTCATCAACAAGCAATGTTTTCCTCTATGTTTTGCTTAGGGCAGAAGCCCTATGATAGCAGGGTCTTGTCAGTTCACTGTTACAGCCCCATGTTTAGAACAGTACCCAGGATTTTGCAGGTGCTTACTACATAGCTGAAGGATGAATTAAATGAATGAGTGAATGAGTATCAGGTTATTATACTTTTCTTATAGTTATTATTTTATCTTTGAATGTATTTAAATAGCAAAGTTTAGTTAGACAAATAAGATGTGAAGTGAAATCTAGGAGGAAGTGGCCTTTGCATGCATAAACATAAGATGCTTTTTTATCTTGGTTTCATCTCTAGCCAGGAAGCCCTTATAGGAGAATGTAATGGATAATTATTGGTATAAAATAGGGTTTAAAGATCTACAGAGACTTTTTTTTAAGAACATATTTCCATCAGGACAAAAAACAACAGTTCTTTCTTTCCATGGTGGCTGCAATCTCCAAATTCATTTTTCTGACTAAGGTAATGACCGATCATCCAATCATTGTTAGGAGCTTAGAGATCATGTAAGGGACATTTGTGTTCACCCAGACTAGATACCTGGAAAGGATGAGACACTGGGGCAGAATCAACTACCAATCCCTGAGCTAAGGCCCTGAGGGATTTGGTAATTGTTCTTACACATGTTTTTCAGCTCTACCTTTCATTGGAGTTAGCACCAAGTCTCTCATAAAAGCCAGTTAGCACTGTAAGTTGATGGTCAATATCCTGTAGGGACTGAATAGAAGGAGGATGGCATCATTGTGTAAAAAATGTTTGTTAAAATATCTAGCTCAGGGGTCACTGGGGAAAAAAAAATGCTGTGGAACAAAATTGGGCATCTGTATAGGGCAGTGTAAAATGCCATTTGTTTAAAATCCTGGCACTTTCTCCCAAATATCATTGACCTTTTATTCACTTAACATGTATTTCTTGCTGAATAAAAGCATCTACTGTTGAACTACCAGTAAATTTGTATTTCTGATCAGACATCTCATTTTGCCTTCTTAAAGGAGTTCTTCAGAGAAAACTTCTTGTTGCATTTTTGTTCAATTCTCAGCTGATCAGCTATGTGGCTTTCTAGATAGCTATTATTAATACTACTACTTCTCTATCAAACTACTGACCAAATTAACCAAGAGGCCTAAAAATATGCTGATTTGAGTTTTACCTTTTTTTCTACCATCTTAGAAAAAAATATTTTACTACTGTGGGAAACACCCAAACTAGGAGAATACTAGAGAATGAAATAATAACAAATTAAAAGAAAGCCACATGCGATGTTTAATCTTTAATCTTCCTCTCGAGCCAAATTAAATCCCAGATTTGCAGAAGGAGAAAGTCAGGTATCTTCCATGTGTCACAAATTTGTAAGGGCTGTGGCAAAAAGAACAGAGGTTAGATTGGCCAACCAAATAAGATGTTCTTTTCCCGACAGGGAGATTCTTTTCCTTTTGTCTCAAAGCTGAGGTGTAAAGTCTGTACAGAGGGATCCTTCCTATTTCTTCTGGGTCTGCATTGGCATCACATCAAAGCCATAGGCAGACACTCACTTGAGAGAAGCCTCCCCCGCTCCAAGGAGCGTGGTTCCCATGCACACACATGTTCAGTGGACACCACTCAAAACCAGCTGGGATGTCGTTTGGTTTGCATTTGGCTCTCTTCCCAGGCTCTCACATGGGGCTTCTTTGTTGTAGACAATGACAGGGACCAAACAAAAGCACTTAGGGACTTGGTCTCAGTTGCATCTGTTGCTTTGTTCATTGTCTTAATTTAATTACGCTGGCCACCCTTGACAATGGGCAGCAAGTGGAGGCCTGTCCGAGGCAGCCTTTGAAACTGGCATCCACCTTCAGTGCACTTCTTGAAGGGTTATGAAACTGTCCCACATTCAGCCAAGCAAAAACTTTTCACTTCAACAGCTTGTCCAAGACAAACAAACCAGCCGAAGCTGTTCCTAGTATGCAAGTAGACAGATTTTTGAAAGGAAAACAGTAGTAAGTAAATACTGTTTCCTATTGACACTAGGGAAGGTAAGATTATTTAAAAAAAATGTTGGTTCTCTAGCTCACAAGGGTTGGTTGAGGAAATTTATTTCTCTGAAGAAAAGATTGACCTGCTCATTGGGGAATCCGTTTAAGAAGGGCTTAATTTGCGATATACATTATTACACTTTGGGGATCATGCACAGATATTTATGAACCGGGAAAATGCTTTGAAGGGCTCATTCATATTCTCCCATTATATCTCTGCTCCCATCCTAGCTTCTAGGACTTCATAGGAAATCTATGCATAAAATTTTTGATTAAGAAGGTCACTGAGCCGAAACCGGTTTGGCTCAATGGATAGAGCGTTGGCTTGGGGACTGAAGGGTCCCGGGTTCGATTCCGGTCAAGGGCATGTACCTTGGTTGCGGGCATATCCCCAGTAGGGGGTGTGCAAGAGGCAGCTGATCGATGACTCTCTCTCATTGATGTTTCTGACTCTCTATCTCTCTCCCTTCCTCTCTGTACAAAATCAATAAAATATATTTTAAAAAAAAGGTCACTGAGAGCTAGTAACAATGGCAATAATAATAATCTTCATTAACACTTACAATTTATACAATAATCTCATGGTACCTCCTGAGACAATTTCATTTACAACAGTCTCATATAGAATTTGAGGCTCACTAAGATTTAGTAAATTGCTTCAGGTTACATAGGAACAAATGGATAGACCCAGGACTAATAATAAAACAGTTTATTCGTTTAACAAAAGAATAATAATTCTATCAGTTGAATCCATATGTATTACATATGTTAATTGAATATGTTTTATTTCTGTTAGTTCTTTTGGAAGTGGGTACTAGTGTCTTGTCCATTTTACCTTGAAGGAGTATGAAGCTTCTAAAAGTGATTTCTTGCTGTAAAGATGTGCCTGTTGCTGGCATTTGTACCAGTTCCTTCTGATTCTGGAGCTCACCATTTAGCTGCTTTGCCATACTGCCCAGAGGTCAAACAATATCTGGTGCCTCAAGGCCCAAATCTCTCTCAGATAACTGTCCTTGATCAAGTCATGAGCTGTCCAGGATCCCAGATGATGTAGAAGATGCTGGTTTAGGGGGTGGATGCCCTTCCAACTACAAGTATGAGCTGAGCCCCATTTATATGGTTGTTGATAAAGGATAGTAGCACAGTATTCTGTGAGCAAAAGCTAACCCATGGGTATTATAAACCCTTCTTTTCTCCCTGCCTATCTTTATGAGATTTTTGCCCGAGAGAATCTAAATGAAAGATAATTAATAGGCTCTTTTAAATTTCAGGGAAGAGGCAGTGATATTTTCAGTAGACTATGTTTCCACCTCTACCCTTTCCAAACAAATGGAGCATTGCGTGATGTAAAGTCCAAGAAAAGCCTCACACCTTGTGAAAGTGCTGGGAAAATTCTGTCCAGCATGGAATATTTGTCTGTTACATAGCAGAAGGTCCTAACTCAGCATTGACCTTCTCCTAAGAAGGGAAAAAATAGGAAAAGCAATAACAATAATAACAAAATGAGGAGTGGATGATTGAAAAGATAATCCAGGCATCAGCTCTTCCCCTGTTAAGAAGGATGAGCTCGAGCTACTTTGCTGGATTGACCTGGAGATATGTGAAATTGTGGAGGACAAGTTAGATGTCTCAGTATCAAGTCTGGTATCTCTTTACTTCGGGAAATCATACGTTCAACTTCAGGAGAGAGAGAGATCAGCCTTTCCTCCCTGGGAGCCAAGCAAAATGAGTGTCATGTGATTTACTCAGCACTTTGAAATGTGACTTTTACAATCAGAGGTCAAGGTGAACATTTTGAGAGACTCAGATTCCTGATGTAGTGGCTGCTTCTTTAACAAAAAATGAGAAGTATGAAGATTGGATGTAGTGTTGGTCAGCCCAGCCTCTTGTTTTTTGTTGTTGTTGTTGTTTGTTTGTTTTTGTTTTTGTTTTTGTTTTTGTTTTCCCCCTGGAAACCACTGCATCGTATCTCCTATGTGGTTATGGTAACAATG